GTCTGGTTTTCAAGAGGAATATTACACTACCACAGCAATGAAGTATGCATTGAATTGTATCTTCAGTAACCTGGATAAAGGCCACGACTGCTGTGCACTATTTATCGACTTGTCAAAAGCCTTTGATACTCTTGACCATCATATTCTACTAACACGACTTGATCAACTCAAATTTTCACAGTGCAACAAAGTGGTTTAAGAGTTACCAATTGGACCGTTATCGAAATGTTCATCGTGATAACATCTCATCCACAAACATTAAAATAACTTTACCGAAAGAACCAAAGAGTAATTCCTGCAGTTACGAAAGCGCTAAATCAAGTTTGGTATTCCACAAGGTTTTGTGCTGGGTTCAATTCTGTTCTCATTAAAAAAATATTGGACTACACTTAAATCACTCAGAGTTAAATATTTTTTTCTGATGAAACTATCATGCTAGTATCTGCTAAATCTTCAAATGAAATCAAACAGAATCTGCAACATCACTTTGACTGAATTCAATATCAATTGTCGTCACAAATTGCTCTTAAATCCACAAAATATGAACATAATGCGTTTTAATCAAACAAATATCCAGTTTCATTCACTTGACCTATATCAGAAACAACATCATTGACCAAAAGGAGTGCATCACATACTTAGGTTTAGTGATCGATTCAAAGCTTACATTCCAAACACGTTGATTACATCTCAAAGAAAATAAAAAATAGGGTTTTATACAGAAACATTGTTTCCAATTGAATTGTACCTGCAAATTGTCCAAGCTATCATTCTACCATGTTTTGACTACTGTGACACTGCTTACAGATCAGCTACTATCGAATCACTAAACTGACGAAACCCGCTTTATCATTCTGCTCTTCGATTTGCACTGGATGTACCATACAGGACCCAACATTGTTGTCTACTTAAAATCCAATCTCACATCACTTGATGCAAGGATAAATCTACATTAGGCCCTGTTCATCCATACAATCCTTATCTTGCAAATATGCGCTATACTTTGGTAATTCTGTAACCACATTGTCATACTCAAGAAACGTAAGACGTCCATCTAATTGCCTTTTAACTGCATGTGTAGTGAGACCGACACACGTTCTTCCTTTACAAAGAGCCTTTATTTCAGACAAAACACTATTTGTAGGCCCGGGCTTCGTTTTTGTTGCTTGAACTTCGTTTTCTCTCCAACCATCCCCTTTAATATCCTCTGAGCCCCCTTTCTGGAAGCTTCGCTCACCTCATTTCCTTCAGCTAATCCTTGTCGTCCTCCAATAGTTGTCAACCATCTCGCCTTAAGTCAAACCTCGTTTCCCTTCTTTTACATTTTAATCTCTCTAATCCCTTTGAATCTCTTATTTTAGCCAACTGTCCGTTAGCACGTATGCTATGTGAAATAGGTGGTCTGGTGCCTCGGTCATTACATATGTGTTGTGTCTTGTAACTAACCACACGGAGACGCCTGCTGGAGGCAAGGCGTTTATTACAACACTCTTCACAACTCTGTTAACACTACTGTAACACAAAGGGGTACGGACCCTTCCACCCATTAGGCGAAGGGAGAGACAGCGTGTCCTACGCACTCCGGGCTACGCTACACGCCGGTCCCTCTGGCGCTCAGGACTGTGCGAACTCAAATTATAACCTCTTCCCAGCTTGTCCCGCCACATTCCTCCCCCATCACACCTCCGACTAATTACTCAATTACCCCATACCCTGCTCGAGGAAAAATGCATTCCGGAATTTCACAGCAAGGCGAGGCCAGCCAGTGACCTATTGCATAACAAAAGAGGATCAATGTTTTGCAATATGTGTACGTTTGTGACTTTATGGGGTGTGTTGGGCGTGTCTGTGTCTGTGTGGAGAGCCTCGGGGAGGGTCCAGGGGGGTCAGGCTCACCTCTGGTCCGCTACACCCCGGCTCTAGCAAGAGCCTCGGGGAGGGTTCCCGGGTCCTGGTCCAGTCTTCAGGTCTTCGGATGTCTTCAAGTTTGAGTTGGCGAACACTGCCCGGTCCATCCAGAGGGCCGGACTTTTATCCCCAGGTCGGGGTCACCCCTCCCCTCATGACCCCCCTTCCAGAATCTTCTAGAAGGTCTTAGAGGGTCTTAAATCTTAAGGGGTCTTAGGAAGTGGTGGGGGCCCCCATCCCCCTCAGCCCCCAGCCCCTGGGGGGTCTGGGGTGTCAACCTCCGGTCACGGGGGGGGGGGCGGGGGTTTGACCTTTGGTCAACCCCTAAGCACCTCGCTCTCGCGGCTGCCCCCTGTCGGCCCGTGAGCGTGGTGGCAGGTCAGCTGCCTACAGCGCCTTATTATGGCGCAAAATCTGTATATTGAACTTGTTTCACACTGTACATAGTCAATCGTGATAATCAGAAGTGCGGGTAAAGGACAAGAGCCTAAACACAAAAATAATTTCTAAAGTAATGTGTTCTTAGTTTAGATTCAAAAGTACATAGCTCCAGTGGCTTCCTAATATTGGAAGGAAGAACATTCCAGACAGCTGAAAAGTGCATCTGAAAGTGCGCGATGCACTGACCAAAGCAGTTTGGCGAGCACTGGACAGACACGGTTGGATCGTGCAGTACCCATCACGACACGTGCCAAATAATTGTGTACAAGCTTTAGTTTTCTTATGTTTTTGCACGACGTGCCATAGAGTAGTGAGTTGCAATTATCGAGCCTTGTCGATACTATTCTACATGCCACCGTGTCGGCTATGTCACGACTCAGTAGTGGCCGAGTGTGTCGTGGAACCCGCATATGAACATTGCAGAACCTGACTATATTTTGCACGTGGTGATTAAACGGCATATTCTGGTTGAGAATGGGTCCCGAGGCTCTTCAGATTAGTAGAAACCGAATCTTGGAGTCTGTGACTGCCGCATCCGATGCTCCCAATTTTCTTTTCACCTGAGCCCAAGTGCCAACGAGCAGAACCTCCGATTTTCCTATCCCCATAGCAAGAATTGTAATCGTTGGCAAAGCATTTGCCCGTTGCAACACCAATATTTTGGAACAACCTTGTTTCCTCCCTTAGCATCGTAGACTAGTGTAATTACCCGTCATATGACAGGTTCATAAAAAATATATGTAACGAAAAATGCTTGAATTTAAAGATTGTATTACATTTATTTAATCGAAAATAAATTTATGTAAATCACCTTTTTCGTATCATTATAATAGCGGCTTGATTTACCTTTCTATCAGGAAGAAAGTAAACGAAATGTTTCAATCAAAAATTGGCTTTCCAAACTTTACATTTTCCTCACCTGTGAGAGTGAATCAAAAAATGAAAACACTTGGTTCTCGAGTTAGGTTTATTGCAAATGTTCAATTATAGGAATAATTTTATTATGACAAGTATCGACTTAATGGATTATGTATTGATGTGAATACAAACAAATTAACTATAAACTGGAAGGACAGGTTGGTGTTCACTAATTTTCACAAATTTTTACTATGAGTGCGAGCAAAAGTCATCAAAGTGAAACTGCGCTGAGTTTCAATTAAAAGCAGATTCCGCTTCTCTATTTCACTTTCTATTCGATGTCCAACAAATAAAAAAACTATTGTCACAGAAATTAACTGAATAGATGATTTATTATTATTCTGCAATGGTGTACAAAACCAAAAGATAAAATAGAAAAACAGGGACAGCGTCGCTGGTATATTTTTGGAGAAAATTTATTATTTTAATCACAAACTAATTAGTTACAAAATGAATAAGCCTTTCATGAAAACAATATTTAAAATTGCGTAAAAATTCAGGTAGCCTACCCCCAGCATACAGTGTGTCGTTCGGCACATATCACCAAATCTATATGTATAATAATTCATTCAGAAAATATACTGATACAAAAGATTAGTGGTGGATATAGCCACATTTGCCAATGTGATTTGTAACTGATCCTTACCCGTGTGTCGATAGCAACATTTTATTGTGCAATTTTACTGAGGGACCGTGTGTTGTCTTGTTGTGCTCTGATACTGTCATTGTTGCTTTTCTGCCATTCCCTAAGTTTACATTCGGCAGGAAATGATGTACTCTTGAAATGTATACTCATATACTTTATTTATTTTTTGTATTTTCTCTATTTTGCATCTGTGAAAAGAGTTTCATAGCTCATCGGATTCCTCCAAGATAAATAAAGATTCTGATACAAGCCCGCATAGATGCAGGCATAACCATACAAACTCAAACATGCACACGCGTACATATATTGCAAAACTTTGATCCTCTATTGTTATGCAATAAGTCATTGGCTGGCCTTTCCTTGCTGCAGAATGTTGGAATGCATTGCCCCTCTAGCGGGAATGGGGTAACTGCTATTTTGTCTGCTGCTATTTCTGGAGGAATCCCGACGGTACGTTCAGTCTTCTGGCTCTGACAAATCGGGTTTGACCAAGAGACGCCTTTAGACGGCTGTACCACTGGGGCCTGCGTCACAGGTTTGATCTTGTATTTGTGGTTTAGTGGTAAGTGAATTGAAGATGGAGGGGGCTACCAGCCCCTCGTACCCGTTCAGAGCCAACTTAACACCACAGTGGCAGCTGTGAACGCCATGAGGGGAACAGCAACAACAATAACCGTCGTACACCACTACATCACATCACCACAACGCTTGTGCCATGCGAGATGCATTTTGAGACCAGGTGAATTTTTGATGGCCTGCTGGCAGGAGGTCAAGGGACAGACCCAGCATTTGAGGCTGAGTCGACCTAGGGGAGGCCCAGGACCGGTTCAGATAATCGTCATTGGTGTTGACCGTGAGCGGGAAGCGAGTGCGCTAACCGCTCCAATACCTCTCCACACAGACACAGACACGCCCAACACACCCCATAAAGTCACAAATGCAAAACTTTGATCCTCTTCTGTTATGCAATAGGTCAATGGCTGGCCTCGCCTTGCTGTGAAATTTCGGAATGCATTTTTCCTCGAGCAGGGTATGGGGTAATTGAGTAATTAGTCGGAGGTGTGATGGGGGAGGAATGTGGCGGGGCAAGCTGGGGAGAGGTTATAATTTGAGTTCGCACAGTCCTGAGCGCCAGAGAGACTCTGACACCGCGGCAATTGCAGGTGAGTGAGGGAGCGGTCTGTGCATCACCGCCCGGATGCGAGGGCGAATTATGATGACATCGTATTCACAGCAATGGCTTTTGGCTGGCCATCAAACAAAGAAGGTTAATGTGTAATGTAGCTCTCAGAGACACCGTCTTGTCTTTCCGTAAATTGATTACCAGCGGGAAGTACCCGGCGTTGCCCGGGCGAAAAAGACACACACACATCGACTTACATACACACAGACATCGACGCACACACAAACACATCGACTTCTACACACAGACACATATGGACTGACACACACACATCAACTTTACACAGACACATGGAGTTACACACGCACATGGACTCACACATACATCGACTCACACACACACATCGACCTACACACACACACATATGGATTACATACACACATATCGACTAAGACACACATGCATGGACTTACACATACACATGGACCCATGCACACACATCGACTTGCACACACATATCGACTCACACACACACACATATGGACTTACACACACATATGGACTAACACACACAGACATAGACTCACACACACACACATCGACCAACACACATAGAGATTCAAAGGTAATACGAAACGCAGTTAAAATAATACATCACGTAAAGTCTGATCAAGCTAACCAAATACTACACAAAGCTAGCGAATTATTATTAATAGAGCGAATACAGCACAACAGGAGTGAATTATCTTACATTTCGGAATCGCTAAAGCAGTTACACTTAGATATAAGCAATAGTGTATCCATGCATTATTGGAATATAATCGATACCATAACACAACAATCGGATGATAATGTGTTTAATCTAACAAAAACTAACCAAATGAATAAAGTTTCTAGACTTCATAATAAACAAATCCCTACTAAAAACGAACAATTTAAAAACAAAACCATAATGAACTTGACTAACACTGTTTTATCCAGTGACATGATCTCTGTCCTTTCTAAAGGCCTTAACTTTGCCGTTACCCCACACACAATTCCAGTGGATGAGATAATTGCTGAGGTAGAATCAGCAGTAAGACTCCTTCCACATAATGAGGCAGAGATGACAAGACACGAGGTTGCCAAAATAATTGAGAATAGCAAAGTTCCAAAAGTAAATATTAGCTCTAACGAAGCAAAAGCCTTAAGAGAGCTCCGTGTAAATAAAGATATCCAAATCCTGGCAGCTGATAAAGGCCGCACTACTGCAGTGATGTCACGAGCCGATTATGATAATAAAATTATACATTTACTAGAGGAAAGTACCTACATTAAAATTGAACGAGATCCAACTAATACTTTCGAACGTAAGACTACTGCAATAATTGCAAATTCATTAATCCCTAATTAAGCCAAGGGCCTCAAAACCACCTAGACTGTATGGGCTACCAAAGATTCATAAAATCAGGATCCCATTACCACCCATAGTACAATTGGCTCTGCCACATATAAATTAGCAAAATATATAACTAAACAAATGCAGCCATACATCGGTAGGACATCTTCATTCATAAGAAATTCAGAACATCTTGTGAATGTGATTAAAGATATTAAACTTAATCCTAATGATATTCTGGTAAGTTTTGATGTGATTTCTCTATTAACTAAGGTTCCAGTGAACGAATCGCTTAAATTACTTGATACACTAATAAAGAATACAGGATTACCAAAATATATTCCGAAACTTGCTGACCATTGTTTAAATAACACTTTCTTATTATGTAGAGGGGATTTCTTTAAACAAAAGGAAGGAGCAGCAATGGGCTCTCCTTTATCTCCTGCTATAGCAAATCTGTACATGGAAAACTTTGAAATAAGAGCACTTGCTTCGAGCACATTAAAACCATCGTTTTGGTTTAGATATGTGAATGACACTTTGGTTGTCTGGCCACATGGTATAGATAGATACACTTAATGATTTTCTAAATCATCTCAATGCACAAAACCCGGCCATCCATTTCACCATGGAAATGGAGGTGAAAAACACACTCCCGTTCCTAGATATTTTGCTTGGACATGGCCTAAACGGTAAAATAACACACAGCATTTACAGGAAGCAAACGCACACTGATGCCTATCTGAATGCAGATTCGCATCATCATCCAGCTCAGAAATCCTCTCTTATCAAGATGCTCATACATCGGGCTAAAACAGTGTCAGATGGTGAAAGTCTAGTGAGAGAGATCAAACACGTTAAAGAAGCATTACGACAGAATGGCTACAATAATACTCAAATTAACAGAGCACTGAATGCCAAATCACGATCGCAGAGCAACACTGCTGAAAGCGATCAGATTGTTAAAACAATTAAAATTCCATATATCTCAGGAGTAACTGACAAATTAGCCCGTGTTTTGCAAAAGCAAAACATGACAGTAAGATTTGGTACAGTACACAAAATTCAAAAACTAGTATCTTGCACTAAAGACAAATTACCTAAATTATCAACAGAAGGTGTATATCGGATTAATTGTTTATGTGGCCGATGCTATATTGGACAGACGGGACGTGACATCAGCATAAGACTAAAAGAACACCAAATAAATATTCAATTATCTCAAACACAACTGTCGGCAGTGGCAGAACATGCTTGTCAACAAGGACACTCAATTGATTTTGATAACGTTTAAGTGTGTTAAACTAATTATTACTGGCAAAGACTAATTAGAGAATCCATTGAAATGGAGAGAAATATAAATAACTTTAATCGCTCTGACAGCTACAGGCTTAGTGCGGCTTGGAAGCGTATTCTTAAATAATACATATTACAATTCCTTATAGGGGAAACACATACTAATTAACGGATTACTAACGTAGCATATAATCACAATAACACACATTACAACTAATTACTCATCTACAACTCATTACTAATCATAACTATTGACTGATTACCAATCGATTATATAATTACAATACCCCCCTCTGCCTCAAATCACTGCACCTGAATGAGTTAAATGATGACGTCATCCTGCTGCTCTATTTAAGACCGAGAGCAAGTGAGGGCTTTACCATTCTGGCGAATTGCCCGATAATGCTGGATGCAATTACCAGCGAAACGTCGTATTCAAACTGTAAATTTTGTGGATTCACTCTTCAACACACCAGTGGGCTAAAGTAGTGAACTAATTGTCTTTTGTCAATGTAACACTTTTTTGCTGATTGGCCGTGTCGGGTGGTCGAGGGTTACGATACATTTATAAATAACGCGATCTAACCCAAAAACCTTTAATATGAATACACTTAATGGTTTTCTAAATCACCTCAATGCACAAAACCTGACCATCCAGCTCACCATGACCATCCAGCTCACCATGGAAATGGAGGTGAATAACACACTCCCGTTCCTAGATATTTTGCTTAGACATGGCCTAAATGGCAAAATAACACAGCATTTACCGAAAGTGAACGCACACTGATGCCTATCTGAATGCAGATTCACATAATCACCCAGCTCAGAAGTTCTCTCTTATCAAGACACTCATACATTGGGCAAATACAGTTTCAGATGGTGAAAGTCTAGTGAGAGAGATGAAACATGTTAAAGAAGCACTACGACAGAATGGCTACAATAATGCTCAAATTATCAGAGCACGGAATGCCAAATCACGATCGCAAAACAACACTGCTGAAAGCGATCAGATTGTTAAAACAATTAAAATACCATATATCTCAGGAGTAACTGACAAATTGGCCCGTGTTTTGCAAAAGCTAAACATTAAAGTAAGATTTGGTACAGTACCCAAAATTCAAAGACAAGTATCTTGCACTAAAGACGACTTACCTAAATTATTAACAGAAGGTGTATATCGGATTAATTGTTTGTGGCAGATGCTATATTGTACAGACGGGACGTATCATCAGCGTAAGACTAAAAGAACACCAAAGAAATATTAAATTACCTCAAACACAATTGTCGGCAGTGGCAGAACATGCTTGTCAACAAGGACACTCAATTGATTTTGATAAAGTTGAAGTGTTGTGTAAAACGAATTATTACTGGCAAAGACTAATTTGAGAATCCATTGATATTGAGAGAAATAGAAATAACTTTAATCGCTCTGACAGCTACAGGCTTAGTGCGGCCTGGAAGCGTATGATTAAATAATACATATTACAATTGCTTTTCGGGGAAATACATACTAATAAACTGATTACTCACGTAATATGTAATTGCAATAACCCCCCACCCCCTTCTGATGTATGCACCTGCTTGGGTATTATAATTGGGTTAAGATATTGAATAATACACATTACAACTAATTACTAATCTACAACTGATTACTGGTCATAATAATCTATCCCCCCCCCCACCACCTTTATTTTCTGCACTTGAGTGGTTATAGTAATTGGGTTCAGTTATTAAATAATACACATTACAACTAATTACTAATCTACAACTAATTACTAATCATAACAATTGACTGATTACTAACCTATTATATAATTACAATACCCCCCCTCCCCCTCAAACCACTGCACCTGAATGGGTTAAATGATGAAGTCACCCTTGCTCCTCTATTTAAGACCGGGAGCAAGTGGAAGATGCTGGATGTAATTACCAGCGAAACATCGTACTCAAAAATTGTAAATGATGTTGAATAACTCTTAAACACACCGGTGGGCTAAATTAGTGAACTATTTGTCTGTTGTAAACGTGACACTTTTTTACTGTTTGGCCGTGTCGGGTGGTGGAGGGTTAAGACACATTTATAAATAACGCGATTCTAACCCAAAAAGTTTATCATTAATAATATTGGTCGCGAAAGCCTCCCTGTGAAACTGACCTTCATACCTCATCGTATTTCTCCAGTCTCTAAAAATATTCTGAGCATCAGCAGATAGATTAATGATTAATTTAACATGATAAATTACCATTTTGAAATTAGATGCATACGAATCAACTTGTATATCTAGCTAACGATTAACAACAACAAAACGTTCCAAAATATTGACAATTTAATATTGGCGTATTAATAAAAAACACATATATTCAAT